GAAGATTCTAGTAGGAGGATCCTAGTAAACCGAATACAGAAAACATATGGCGCTAGGATGATCCGCCTTTTAGGATCTCCCCTGTGCAGGGATCGTCCTCCCAGCATGGAAACAGCCCCTAATTTTGGAAGACGAAACGAAAGATTTGGCGGTTTCGCTTCTTAGATTGTTTTCATGCTCATGATGTCAAATCACTCAAAGTGCATCTAAAAGCAGATAAGGTCAATGATTTAGTATGTACTGAATGTAACTGATACTTTAACTTGTACACAGCTTCAGAAACGTTTTTTGAACAGGACATTTCTCCTACTCAGATCATATCGAGAATATTCTTACAAGCCTGACAAAATATAAAGATGGGGCTTTTCCATTAGCAGGTCCTAAATGGCGGTTACGACCCTGAGAGTTTGGACAATGTGGCTCATGTGAAATCCGACACGAAGAGGCACAAAACTGACAGATTTAACGGTAACACGGAAAGCAACAAGGAAGTACGTATATCATTCCAATTTATGTCTTCTTGTTATAAGAATATCATTGAACCATTTTCAGTTATATAATTGTGTATCATGAAAAATGTCCATTGGTCAATTAAAACAGGGAAGGAAAGACTAAAATTCAGAATTGTTGACTCGCCTTTCGATACTAAATGCTATCCTTCACTTACTAATAAGGTCTATCCGTAATCTTCAAGAATCTTTATAGAAGCTATTCTCACTGCATGTATAACTTGCCCATAACGCGGGAAATATAAAACTACTCGAATTCTCTCATGTCAGCCGAGCCTGCGCGCTAGTGGCATGATACATCCCGGCCCCCGTTGAGAATTGTACGGTTTTACCCTTCCTTGGCCAATTCAACGGGGTTCAAAGGAAGTGACTTAGAAGTTTTGCCCCTCCTACCTCCCCTGGTGGCGTTTTACGTCGAACACTTTAAAAAATCGGAATGCCTATTGTCCTGTCAGTCGCGGTTTCCTCCCATAACTCATTTCCCCGTGATAGGGGTACAGATTACGTCATTGTGTCAATCAAGCTATGCCAAGATGTTGAAAATGATGAGTACATTATTCTCTGTAACTTTGGTGGGCATATTACACGCAGTTTTGGAGTTATAGAGGTGAGCCTCTGGCACCCTTCCCCTCCCCCTCCCCCTCCCCGGTCCCAGGAAGCCAAAAAAAAAAAATAAAGAAAAAAAACAGCCCCGTCTGGTTGTATGACAACAAAGTTGGAAGAAATAGTTGCCTTCCTTTCCTCTCTCTCCTTGGCACAGGAAACCCACTCTCCTCTTCAGGGAAAAAGGAAATGGTCCTCTAACACCCGATCACGAAACGGCGAACACCATGTCGAGGGTGTGGAAAGAGAAGAGCACAAAGATCATCATCCGAAAAAGTCTCAAAAATGTGACTTCAGCCAGGTTTGATGTTTTGTCCATTAATATTGTTACTGCACTTTTTCTCCTTACAAAGTGATTCTTTCAGTAATTTCTATTGGGCGCTGAAAACTCATTTCAAGTGAGATGACCACCATTTGCATGGTAAACCGAAGGCTAGAGAAATGGTGGGGGGTGAGTTGGGGTAGTTATTGGTTACTCTTCTCAAAGGTTTGGTGTTGGTCTTCAATTGGCATGGGGTGCAAGGGCGGATCCAGATATTTCAGAGAGGGGAGGGGCACTTGACAGCTTAAGATAATACAAGTTTCACAGAGAAAAGGGGTAGCCGCGGTCCCCTCGGCCGACCCCTAAATCCTTCCCTGGGACGTAACTTTAGTGGCGAGAGTTTGGGGAGGGGTAATTAATTCAAGTTTCTGAAACTTCGACTGGAACTAGGTAAAGCCACAAGAAACTCGCTGTAACTCGTAACTTGTACCTTGGAATGGGCATAAGTAAGTATCTATAATTAATTAAACAATTAACTATTCCAATCTCACAGCAAAACATGGACATTTTTTCTACCTAAATACTGGTTATTGCTCGCTTTATACTCTTTTTAAACAGGAAATTCGCGCACAATTTGCGCTTCCTGAGAGGTCATGGCAGTTTGATTCTCACACTCAAAACAGTGAATACCAACACAAGACCCCGGACCAAAGAGAGCATGCACAAAGGAAAGAACACTTGATAAAGCAAGAAAAGATGGACCAATTTGAGTACACTTCAGAGGGGGTATATGTTCACCTGTACTTGCAATATCCTCACAGTTTCGTTTTTGTGTTAAGATGAAGGAGATTTCTGATTAGGAAGTTCTTTGCTTGGGATAGCTCAGCCTCTCTATAACCAAGTAAGCTAGTAATAACCAAAGGGTACCGAGTGCGGGCGACAACGATCGAAGATCAAAACGCTTTTGCTCCATCGCTGTGCTTTGCCTACGTTTCACGTGAGAGATAGTCAAAACACTCGTGTACAGATTACGAGTGATCTTAGAAAGTCCAAACGCGCGTGTGATAAAATTGCGCTCTGTGCATTCCATTCATTGTTAGTGGAAGTCCAAACGAATGCTGGCTATATACATGCGGTGCATGCGTAATAGCAACCTTGAGATTAGGATTGTGGGCTCCTCTTGTCGCCCGCAATAAAGTTTACCCCGATACTAAAGTGTTACTTTATCTATAAATCTGTAAAAATTGGTAACAAATCCGCTTGACTTGGACTCATTCCTCGGGTAAATCGATAAATTAAACAGAACGTAACTAAATAAAAATGAAAATATAATTATCTGAACAGCATTGCTTATAGACTGTTCACAATCCCTTGTTTTTCCGTAAGATCCTCGAGATCGGCCGATTTGCGTTACCGGCGACCATCTTGGATGAGTGTCAGATCTTTTCAGGGGGTGGGGGACGGGTTCCCTCTACCCACCGCTATAAATCCCGACGCCTGCCCCCTCGGTACATAAGAAACCAAGATGGCCGCAAAATATAGGGGACTGTGAACATTACATTACATTGCCTCTTAGTGACTCGGTGACTAATTATTATTTCTCAAATACCCAGAAAGGGTGGCGTTGTTGACATAATGTGGGTCAGTTTGGCCTGAGACTGCCAGGGTTATATCGAATTTCCTATGGAGCTGTTTTGGGGATAGTGTGGCTTTATTCACCGGCTATTTAAAATTTGCGCGGGAGAGAGGATCAAAATTTGTCCCGCAAACAATCCCACAGTTCAATTCGATACGACATGGACCGAAATTGCTTGTCACTAGCTGGTCGAAATTTGATTCATAAATATTCGCAATTAAAAGACAGATGTTTGCTATTATACAATGACTGTCCTACTTTGCGTTTTCCCTGTACAGACTCAGAAATATGCGAAAGTCAGCCTGCAAGAGCGGCTGACTCAGGTATCTTCAAAAGACACCCACCATTTTAAGGACGAGCGCCAGGGTATCAAGGAAATGAGAAATAGACACAGGCTGGATCATCGGAGAGAAGAGAATGGCTTGTATGAAAGTAAACCAGCCGCAATTGTCGAGCCAATGGAAGGGAATGGACTAATGAACCAACTGCAAAAGGTAAGTTATTAATAGTATCTAGAACTGAGTACCATGACATGGTATAGGAGGTCGAGGTTATACCCCCTCCCATCCCTCCTTCACCTCCCGCTCCTTGGGTTTTGCTGCGTTCAAGCAGCTTGTGATGTTCTCCACATAGGTACTAGCTTGTGCTTGTCTTAGAGGGCCAGACACACTTTAATTACAAATCCATTATTTAGGTACTACTTCATCATAGTAGTAACAGCTCCTTCCGGTGATTTAACTGCAGCGTTGTACAATATAACACAATATACGTCCTCACATTTTCAAGTCTGTAGAGAGTCAAATATTAAACACTTAATGACTGGTCCCGAAGGAAACAAAGTTAACTTTTTCCGGAAGGACTAGTCCTTAAGTGATTTGTTATAGCTGGGAATTTTGAAGCTGGAAATTCATTAAACCTCGCTGTAACGACGGTCGTAGGTCAACATTCGCAGGTATTGAAGAGTGCACTGTTACCGTCATAGATTTTGCAAAGTTGCCCGCTCAGAGATTTTGGCAGGAAACACTTTTATTGTTAGATGTCATGTGACCTCGAAGTAACCAATAAGAGCGAACGCTGTCAAGAAAAAATTTCGAGCTATATAGCAATATGGCTTATGATTAGAAAGACTCTCGATTAGTGAACTACATCAGGAGCACGCACCCAACGTCCGAATGTTTCCAAATGCGTCTTAAGTGCCCCAAATCGTTTACAATATGCTCCAGAAACCTATTTGGTTAATTTGGGGGCTGCCCTAAATATTATTTATCTGTTCGGATGTCTCAAGGGTACTATGGACGTCTATACATTTTTAGTTGGTTTTCGACTCATCCGAAACTTTTACCCTGACATGATGGGATATGATATGGGTCCCGGGTTCGAGAACATGGAGTAGCCGTACTTTAGTTTCATTAGAAGATTCTAGGGGGCGTTTGTCTTAATTTTTTAACTTTTCAGGAGACCCTTTTTTTACAATAATCGCAATATCTTGGTAACAAAAGGTAAAAAAAGGATCTTCGAAAATCTTACACTAGGTAATTTAGTTGAAAAACTACGAATATCTTAGACAAATGGAAGTGTTCTACAGACATTTTTAGCTTTTCTCGAGCTATCTTCCAGGCAATATATATTTGCTCGTTCGAACAAAGTCGTTTTGGTGCCCCTGAGTACATATTCAACTTTTTCTTTTTTTTTTTGTTAGAATGGATCATCAACCTTTGAAGGAAATAACCACACAGGGACGAAACACCGCCACTTGCCGCGCTGCAAGGAAGAAAGCCAGCCCTGGGGTAAAGGTTCTTACTCAGATCTCATTACAATGGCCCTCTCGTCGGCCCCAGAAAGGAAAATGACGCTGGATGAGATTTATCGCTGGATTACTCACAATGTTCCATATTTCAGAGAAAAAGGAGGCGAGCTGACTTCAAGTGGATGGAAGGTATATAACTGTTTCGATTATGCAAGACAGGCATTTTTAATGATACTTCGATAGGTAACTCTGTGTGTTCTTGATCCTTTGTATGGGTACCCGCGAACGTTGATTTCGTCGCGTGTTTTCTATCAAATTCAAGATCGCTTTTCAACCAAATCGTCCCTTGTAGATCAAGAATTGTTTTTGCGTGGTATCGTTACTAAAGAGCTTAAGTAACAACGACGTTAAGAAAGCGATAGGTTAACTGGAAGGGATACTCCAAACATTTTTAAACAGGGAGGCTCCACCTCGAGGTCCAATCCTTGACCCTTTTATTTGCTTTTTTGACAGAAAAAGGACCTCTTTCGTATACCTTCTATTGAACAAATGCCACCCCTTTCTTATATCCAGTTCAGAACTTTGAATAAATCATAAAACCAGAACGTTTTTTGGACTTTTTCACAGCCATAAAATGCATCTGTTTGCCCTTTTTGTCCCTTTTACGACCGAAGTGAGCGATTTCCCCACCTTTTCATATACCTGAGGCCTGAAAAAAGTACCCCTTTTGGGCGGAGTTTCCCCGTATAGGCGATAAGACGTACCCCCCTCCTCCCCCGGTATTTTAATGAGGACCAATAAACAAAACAGTTACAGTGTGCTATCAAACTTTTTGGTACATTTCTTTGCCTTCATTACGCAAATACGACGGAGGATTTTCAACTTCAAGCACGCATATAAACATGAGTTTTCAAAAAGCGAGGAGTCAGTTTTGATTTGTTTTGGTTTGTTTGTTTGTTTGTTTGTTCAGTTATGAATATGCAAACAATTAGCTTTTTTTTTTTACTTATTTCCTTTTTTTTTTTTACAAAGATTCTACCTATACGCGCAATATAAGTAGTTTTGGAGTATTATTTTGTGACTCGATTCTGAGCCTATATTGTCAAAGTATGACGCTGTTAAATACTTTCTTTGCCTCTCCACAGAATTCTGTCCGTCACACACTATCTGTTCGACAGCGGTTCCTACGCTTACCACGCATGATCAATGGAATCGTGTCACACAAGAGCTGGTGGACTCTGAGTGAAGAGTTTCTGAAGAAGCGGACATCCCTTGAGCTAAAAGCCTTTAATCTATTGCCGCAATCAGCCAATGGGAAACAGACAAACCAAGAAACGCAAACGGAAGATTTAATATGTAGTCGGTGCTCCCGCACCTTATTAAGAGATTGACTTAACTGCACTGAAGTGAATCACTTGGGAACTCAGAAAATTATACATGTCCGTACTATTTTTATAAATAATGATTTTGCTTTTGTTAAATCAGTGCTTTGGGTAAGGTTTAAACGTTACATTTTTTCTGCGACCGAATACAATATATTTTTTCACTTTTAATTCTTCTGGTGGGGGGGTGGTGCTGGGGGGAGGGATTTTTCTATATAGGCCTATACAGCGGAAGCTCGGCACTTTATAGCGGATACTGTAGGGATCTTGAGTTAGTGTCCTCATCAGGGAGAGTCCGTAATATCAAGAGTTTATTTCAGTCAAACGTCTGTAATTTATTTTTGACCGGGATTTAGCTGATGTCCGTATTATCGGAGTGTCCGTTATAGCGGGATGTCCGCAAGTCGAGAGTTGACTGAATACAAAAGGGTAAGCAGTTCACCAGTTGAAGATGTACATTAACGGGAAATTGTTCATTGTGGTCTGTACCTAAGAGGTCTAACAAGCGCATTTTATGGCAGTGAAAAAGACAAGAAAACTTCCTGGCAGGTTTAGTGCTGTATTCATGTTTATAACAGAGCATTTACAGCAGCTAAAAGGGATTCAGTGCACTAAACTAGTGTTTGAAAGGGTTACCATTTCTCAATTAAAGGTACGCGAGAGAGGTATCGTTTCTGTCAAAGGTGGTATATAAAAGGGAAGGTGTTGGACCTCGGTTGGAGACTCCCCGTATAAAATTTTGTTGAGTATCCCCTGGGAATCTGGCGGTATGTTCGGGCTTCAGGATTTCTCGAATCAGTCACATACTTAACAAAACAGATATTGTTCCCCAGAGCTCTTCCCTCCCTGGCCGTCATGCGCAGAAGAGCTCTGGGATCGAGAATGGGTCCTGTCAAGTGGTACGACTCTCTTGAGTCGTACAACTTGTGAAACAGCATCTCATTAGCGACAGTTAGAATTTGTGAGCAAAGTTTTCAAGAGGTGTTCCTGTCAAGTGGTACGGCTCTTACAAGTCGTGCAACGTTTGGTTGACTTTCGTTTTGTTAGGGGGCTCTCCATACCGTGGAAGAAAACAAGTAAGTACACGCGCAAATTGAAAAGTTGCTTAAACAACAAAAGACGAGTTTATATTAGCCGAATGTAAAATTTAAAACGAGAAAAATCCTGAATCTTTTCGAGTTAATTAAGCTCACTGTTTTATTCTTGCCTGAATCTACAAACAATACGATGACATGTTTGACGCGCTTGTTCATGACAATGCTTTTTAAGTTTGCATATTTTGAATCTACAATTTTGTAGATTGTCTTACTTTTTAAACTTTTTCCTTACTTTACGTCTTTGTTTCCGTTCTTTGTCTTTGCACATACGTCCGTAATTTTCACGCCTATTTGCTCGTCTTTTTAAGCGTGTAGTTTCTTGTTTTCTATTTTTATGGAGAGAGTCAAAGTCAGTTCCCTCACAAGGGCAGTGTGGTTTGACTTTAAGAGAGAGCGATTTATTTAAGGGAAAGTGTATCGGCAGGAGGATTTCACTACTTAGGCAGGGGGGTTCGTTAGCGTTGCAGTACTTGTGTTCTCATAGAGTTATAATTTGAAGGATACAGTACGTGACATGGCTTTTTATTTATTGTAAGGAGGGTAAGATCTGAAGGAAGTGGTTTCCTGAGTTGGGAAGGGGTGGGGGGTATTACTTAAGGGGAAGTTTACAAAAGAGACGTTATATCACTAGACATATCTAGACAAGTCTTCTTACTACCCGACCTCTCAAAAGGCCACAACTATACGGACTTTGCTGAGACGAGCGCAACTAGTTTGCGACTCGCTGACAGCGTACATGCAAGACGAAACTGACTTCTAGGCAACGTTTTTAGTAGAAGCAACTACATCGCGAACGTTGTTAGACGAAACACTCACAGTACGCCGACTCCAACACTCAGACCAACGTTAACTCTGGCCCTGTTACGACATCGACTTTTCCGTACATTCAGGAGCTCTGAGACTATCGCACCTATACATTGTGAATTGCTGGGAGTTGCGGGTGGGGTTAGGGGGTCCTCAACCAGGCGTTTGGAATAATGAGGAGGGGAAAATATTTCGAGGGGCATTTTAAAAATTTTACGTTAGTTAACATACATACATATTGTGTCGTATAACCATAAATAAAATCACGACGCTGCAGTCGAAATCGAAGGACAAGAGTCAGCAGCAAATTAGATAAGCCTGGCTTGTATTTTTCTCGCTATGAAAGTAATAAACGTTAGGTGGCTTGGCAGAATATTTGTGTTTTGTGCTTTTTCCTAATTCGTTCTATTTAAAATGGACATGTCTACACGCAAACTGCGAAGCCAGGAGCGGATCTAGGATAAACACCGACCTATTTCCGTTGGGAAAGTTTTTGGAATTTGACTCCCCAAAATCCCTTTTCCTGGGTTTCTGAGTAATTCAGACAAGCCTTTTTCCAGATTTCAACTTAAAAAGTTTTTTTTCTATCAAAAATTTATTTATTATACGAAAAATCTGACCGATTTCCGTAACGCGGTGGAAACCGGTGTAGATCCGCGCCTGGAAGCATGGCATTACTAAAAAAGTTTGTGCAAAAGGGGTTATTTTATGCCCACTCTAGTGCCTCTATAGGGAGTGCTCGGACAGTTCAGAGAAGCAATGTGACGATTTAAGGGCAGAGACATCCTAATAAGTAAATGAGTTGCTAGGGAAGGGACTTGCTTGCTGATGGGGATTTGATGCTGGATGGGGTCGCAGTTTCATGACTGGATTGAATGTAATGGGGTTACATTTTCATAAGAGTTACTAGAATGGGGTCGCACATTTTCGGGCTTTTTGTTTAATACCTTTGTATCTAGGATGACTGACCTACTAGGCTTTACATAGATAAATGCGTAAACGGGAAGTGACAAAGTAAATTACATTTGCCTAAAAAGGACCAAGGTGGGATCTATAATTGGCCACACAGTAGACTATAAGAGGGTAGGGGTTCTGAGAGGCCAGCATCATATACCCAGCAAAAATTGACTCGAGTAGAAATGAGAAGTGCTCCTTGTATCAGGAAGGGTAGCGTATAGTTATTGACCGAGGCCACGACTGACTTGTTGACTGCCAAGAATCCTGTGGACGCTTAAGGAAAGATTGCCGAGGACTCTTTCACCGAGCCCTGCAAACTGTGTTTAGGACAAACGGCCTTCAATTCTCTACCCTGTTTAATACAAGAGAAATTGTATTTCGTGACCTTGACTAATTTTATTTTGCTTACAGAAATAAGTATTAACAAAATTAAACCCGATATAATAAACTGAGTCAAATTCTTAATAAAGGAAAAAAATTGGCAGTACCCCACATGTAGACACCCTTTATCACTTAAAAAACAAAGGAGGGACTGGAAACGAGGTTAGCTTGAGAGTTACTTGGCCCAAAAGTCTTAGCTTGTGAACAGGCTCTCTGTTTGGGAAAAGGGTGAAAAAATCGCGAGGAGAGGGAAGGGAAAGGGTTTCACTCTTTCCTCAAACAGAAAGCCTGTTCACAGGCGACAAAAGTCTTGTCGCCTTATAGTAGAGGAAAGCTGAAAAGTAGCCTTTTCAAGGCGTTCATGTAGTAGTTAGTATGCGGGCGAAAAAATGATGAGGGAAAAACGATGCTCCCCACCATCTGAACGCATTCAACAGGCTCGGATGAAAAGTAGTTTAGCCCAAGATACGACGCAGCGGTTTTGCTATTATAAGTGTTTTTGTTGCCAAAAACAGCGTCTATGATAAGGAAGCGGTCGACTTCCACAAATTTTCTTAGATCAAGTAGAGAAATTTCAATTTTTTGCTTCTGTTCTCTCATTGCATTTCGTGTACTTCAGTAA